GCACCCCCACACCTCCACTAGGAGGAGGGCGGGCGGCCCAGGGAGCTGGTGGCAGAAGCAGCAGAGAAAAGGCTGTCACCATCCTTTCTTCCTTTTGGTACAAGAGTCTCCCTGAGCCGGCGATTCTCCTGTAGTGACACCTCTCACGGGCACTAATGAGATCCATGTCACAGAGCTAATGCGCTCTGACTAGGCTCTTGATAGACACCCCACTCCTTCAGGGGAGACCACAGGCCAGTACTGCCCTCCTGGGGCCAGACCCCCATCCTGCCACTTGCCAGCCCAGCTCTCTTGCCAAACTGTGCTGGGCAACAAACTCCTGAGAGAATCCACTTGTTGTCTGGCCATCCTGCCTTAACCAGGAGCCTCAGAGGGACCCTCCTCAGTCCCTGAGCAGAGGGGTAAAGCAGCCAGGGCAGGACCACCCAGCTGGACATGAGGGAAGGTTCCAGTTATTCTCCCAGACAGCTGAAACCAGCAGTCCCAACAACTGGTGAGGTTTACTAACACTTCCTTTGCAGACTTCACAAAAAGAAAGAAGCCAAGGAGGCCTGGGTCTTGCCCTTAGAGAGGTCAAGTATGTGGGGACTGATCATTAGCAAACAAATTATGATCAGGGACTAAAGGTGTATTCTGTACACCCTCACTGGGAGGGCCAGGCAGGATTCCCAGAGGAGGTGGCCCCTGGAAGATGGACAGGTTTTCCTGAGCCAAGAGGTAGAGAGCAAACGGAACTCACAGAGTAAGGGCTGTCGGCTCAGAAAGAGGTCAGAAGCCAGTGGCTGTGGGGCCTGGGCTCTGAGCGTGACTACGGCAGGAGAGAAGGGGCGGCAGTGCTTCCTTCCCGTCTTCCTCAGTTGTTGCTCCTGAAGCTTTGTCACGGCCTGTAAGTTCCACTGACACTGAAGGGAACGAGGGAAGTGAGCTTATTTTCTTCCTTCTCGCCTCTGTTGGTAGCACAAAGCCTGACACCAAAAGGTACTTCCAGTTCCCCACAGTGATAAGAACATAGGCTTTGCATTTATACGGTCCTGGGTTAGAATCCTGACTCCTCAAGTCAATTGGCTGAGTGACCTCAGACAAGTAACTTAACTAGTTAAGCCTCAGTTTCCTGCCTTACGCAATGGGAATGATGATGTCTGCCTTCATAACACTGGTGTGAAAATCAGTTAACATAAATGCCCCCAAATAATGTGCGTGTCTTGCTGACCCTGGGCTGGAAGGAAAGAAGCACCGCACTGAGCAGTCCCTGTGGAAGCTGCCTGCCGAGAATCTTTGGTCCAAGCCAAGAAAGCTGACAGAGCCCACGAAACAGCCAGTCTACACACACGCAGTCCCTCCTCACCCACAAGCCGCTCCAGCAGCTCTCTGCTCACCAGGCTCACCAGGCCAATCCCCTCCCCCAAGAGGCGTCCTCCCGACTGAGAGGCCATGCTGACAGCCCACAGCCTGTCCTCCCAGGGCTTCACTGCTTCCATCGCTGGGCCTCCTCTCCCTCAGTCCCCAGGGCCAAGCCATTACCTGCTCCTGGACGGTGCCTGTGGGCTCCGTGAGGGCTGGGCACTGTGTCCCACTGTGTCTGTCATCTTTACCAACACATTTCTAGCACTTATCACATAGTAGGAGCGAAGTAAATGTTCACTGACTTGGTCTGACTCATCCCATAGCCACTGCTGGCTCTGAATTAACCATCACCCCCATGTACCTTACTGCACCTCCCCTTCTGCAGTTTCTCCTCACCAGTCTTCCCTGCACACACTCTCAGGCTGCTCTGACCAGGTCACTCCTCTGTCCAGACGTTCCCACACTCCCCCTCAAACAACTCAGCCACCCATACCCATCCTAACAGCCATCTCCCTTCTGTAGCTGCCCCTCCCATCAGTCCACCCTCCCGTATGCCTGCTCCCTTGCTCTCTCAGCACCCCACCACCCAATGCTTGGTAGGAGTCCCCGCAATGTAGACCCCACAGGCTCCTCCTGCCACACATGCCTAAGAAAGAGGCTCAGGATCATCAGTGGGTTTAGGGTCATTGGTAATTTGGGAGAACCAAGCAGATCCTGGAGATGGCTAAGCTATGGGATCTGCAGAACCCTTGCCCAGCATAACCAATGCTGCCTCACCCCCACCCCCAATATACATACCACTCCCCACTCCAGGCTGGCAGCTCCTCACAGAGTTAATTAGCACCATGTCACTGAGGACCAGCCTGAGTGGCCAGTGACAGGAGCTGACCCCTGACCCCAGGGCTGGGAAATAGTCCACATCAAACTCTTACAGCACGACCCTTTTAGCACGCACAGTAACTCGGGGCACCGCCAGCTGAAGCTCATTAAAGCTGTCTCTTTGGCGCGAGGGCCATTAACCTCACTGCTCAAAACCCATGCCTCCCCTCCCCGCCTCTCCCAGCCCAATTAATGCCCTGCATCTTCCCTCCCTTCCAAGAACCCTCACCCACACCTCAGAGCCAACCAGGAGCTGGCAGGGCAGCCCCCTTCATTCAAAAATACAAACACCAAATACCAGGAATCCCCAGTGTCCTTGAGTACCCACTGTGTGCCAGGCACTGCACAAGCCCTTCACACAGCTGACTTCACTGAACCTTCCCAACAGCCATGAGAGGCAGTAGCACCATCCCTTGTCCAAGGTCACAGGGCTCTGGAGGGTAAAACTAGAACAACTGGCTCCAAAGCCCTACGGTGTTGTCACTCACAGCCTTGGGCTGTCCCCTGGAGCCCACCCAGATGGAAAAACCTTCTCTTATAAAGAAGAAAGGAACACTTCACGGGTCCTAACCCAGAATTGACATGAGTGAAGAGAGAAGAAGGGCAACACTGAGTCCCAGGAGGCAGCCAACAGTGGAAACAAGGAAGCCCTTCCTCTCAAAAATATACCCTGGACAGATACATGGAGGGTGGGCACCCAGCTCCCTGTGCAGGGGGAGCTAACCCAGTTCGGCTGGTCCCTGCCACTGGCCAAACTCAATTACAGGCAGTTGCTCCTCCCCTGGGCCAATGCAAGTCCTCTCACTGGTCCTCGTTGTCTGGTCTCCCCCTTTCCCATCACTCTTTCATTGACTCATCTACGCGTTCATTCACCACCTGACTGGATTTACTGAGCACCCATTAAGAACTAGTTTGTGCAGCACAGCGTCCTCAGTGTGTCTGAATCAGAGCTCTGATCATGCTGTTTTCTCACAAACCTCCTGTCTCATTAAAACCTCATGAGAAATCCACTCCCTTTAACCTGCCATCCCAGGGCCCCTTACATCCCCACTGATTTTTTAGCCATTCCCTAACCCAAAGGTCCCACTGCAGTCACTGGAAACTATTTGTAGACGTCTCACCTGCCATCTCAGTATGCCAGGCTTCCTCGTGCCCTCAGGCTTTGTACACACACTTCCCCCTAAGAAGAAAATCCTTTCCCCATTTTTCTGCCTAACAAACTCCTATTCATCCTTCAAGGATTTGCTGACTCAAGTGTCCTCTTCTCTAGGAAACTTTCTGCTCACCTCCCAGGCATATCACCTTGCTAGGTTTGGGGTTTCCACTAGATTGCATAGAACAGCAGTTGGGAGAGAATAGCAATTGCTGTGGGGTACCCCCCAAATCCTTAGGCCCACTGACCACCCCCCACCCCCAACAAGAATGATACAGGGCGTCCCAGAAGTCAGTGAGATGTAAGTGAAGAAGATAAGCCATTTGGCAACTGAGAAAACCTTGTTTGGGGCAGCCCAGGTGTTTCTAACACGGCCCTCAGTGGCCTGGGTAGCAAATGCCCAGTTCAATCTCTGTCTCCTCCAGAATGTGAGCTCCCTGAGGACAGGAACTTCTACTCAGAATACCCAGCACCCACCAGGCACCAATGACGTCTGTGGAAAGGATGAGGGGCTCATCTGTAGCAAGTGACTGGTTCCTTTGGTGTATCTTGCCAGTCCCTTCCTTCAGCCCCTGATACCTTCCCAAAGGTACATAGGTTATGATAATGTCATAAAGCCACCCAAGAATACCCCTGTTCCTCCCCACTTGGAACAAAGCCTTGTCTGCTAAAAAACATTTGCATGCACACGTATGCACATGCACACAAAATAAGACACATAGAAATTAACAGACATACTTTCTGACAAGCTGATGATTGCTCCCATATACAGACACATGCCCTCAGGAAAATGTAGAGATATACTGCTATACACATGCGTCCCTCAAATATAGACATACACGGATACACATATACTCTTAGACACACAGAGACATGCAGCTGAAGCTGCCAAATGTACATGCGTGCGCACGCGCGCGCGCACACACACACACACACACACACACAGTCACTCACAGACAGACACATATCCATACTGAGAGATCAGAAGCTAGCAGAGCCTCCAATGCCTAGAACCACGGCCATTTCAGCTCCTTCCAAGCAGTAATCCCCCTGAGGGTGTACCCCCACCTGGTACCCCAAATGGCCCCTCCCAACCCAGGCACCGTTCAATGGAGGCTGCTGCTCCTGCGGGGGAGTCAATACCCTGTGGACGGAGCCATCGGTCAGAAGGACCCCGACTAATTAAAAGCTGGTGAGGTTTAAATAATTCATCTCCTTAACTCCCATTGATCGCCCAGTTTAGTGGCCACAGACTTGAAACAATATTAAACAGCCTCCTCCAGCTCCACGGGGGGTGGGTGAGCTGACATGTGCCCACCCCTCTGAGGACATCTCCCACCAGAGATTCAGCCAGAGGCAGGGGTAGCTTGGTTTGAATCCAAGGCCACCTGTGATCCACCCAAAGCCCAGAACCCAGTCTCCTCCTAAATACTGTTTTGAGAGACCCTTTCCAATGGTCTGGTTTCATTCTCCCTTCATACCCCCCTTTCCCCGCTCTCCCCAGCTACGGAGAGCACCTTGTTAGAGCTCAAAAAAACCCACAGATCCCTCTGTGAGCCAGGGGACTGGGGCATGTGGACAGGAGACTGACCAGGCTGCCAGGGGGACATGTGGAAGGACTGACCAATGCCGCTGTGGGGCCGGCCTATGTGCTGCAGGCTGAGGCCCTTGTTCATGTCTAGAAGTCCGTTCTTGGGCCAGCAGCCCATGGCGAAGCTGTAAGCCTGGAAGACAGGAGGCAAGAATGGTTAACAGAGGCCCGGACCCTGAACCAACCCATCACTCCCCCCATCAAACCTTACCCCCAAGGACTTATTCTCATCATACCACTTCACGATCGTCCCCTCACGGGGTCCCCTTGCCACCCAAAACCCCTTCCGCCTCTAGAGCTCCCCTTCTCCTGGGCATCTCCCTCTGGCCCTCACTGGGTGTCCCCTCACAACTCCTCTAGAGAGCTCCTATTTAGTAAGACCCTCCTTGTCAGGACCCCGCCTCTCATCAAAGGACCCCCTTCACCTTAAATTCCCTCCTCTCCAGAGTCCTCACTGCTGGGCCCCCTCCTATAGCATTACTGGTCGCAGAGACTGTGGTCCGGAAGACTTGGAGACCAACGTATTCAAACTTCACAGATAGGAAAACCAAAGTGAGGGGGGCCCCACCTGCCTGTGGTCAAGTTGCTTTTGACCCAGAGACAGGCGAGGCTGTAGAAGGCTGAGTGCCATGTGAGTGTTCAACTGGGGAGGGGTAAAGTCACCTGGTGACTCAAGCAGCAGTGAGGGGAGCACATGAAGGGTGTGTGTGTGTGTGTGTGTGTGTGTGTGTGTGTGTGTTAGGAGAAGCAGATCTCTGCTGAAGGTCAAGTGCTCACTTATGCATATTCAAAGCGGCCACCCATCGATCTGTACTTAATTGTTTTCCTGGGGTTGGGGAAGGAAGTGCTGGGGGCATCGATCTGCTCAGACCCCCAGCACTTCATTGCTCCCCTCCATCCCCTACTACTGTCACCTGACAGCGGCCAAACTCCATGGGGAAGGAGGCGTAAGATACATGGCAGGACAGGGATGGCACCTGCTCTTACAGTCCTTACAGGCATGATGACCTGATGTCACAGGTGAGGAAACTGAGACCCAGAAAGAAGAGACAGGGTTAGAACACCATTAAGTGGCCCATTGGGAATTTAATTCCTGCTCAGCCTGCTGGCAAAGTCCTGGGCTCCTACCAGTGGGCTTGCATAGCTAGCTGACACTTCAAACATTATCCTTCCACTCACTTTAGAAGTCCCCAAACATCAGGCTGCCTTCTCCCAGTGGCAGGAAGCATGTGGGACAGTGGTCAATGGGAATGAAGCTTGGGTGAGTCCCCAGAAGTTAGATGGTGAATCCACTGATGATACTAAAGTGACCGTAGCCATTGTCAGACAGGCACTGAAGTGCCCCTGCCCATCACTATGCCCAAGAGGTCCCCAGCCCACCACAGACTCCTTCATAAGGGAGAGCACCCAGCATAGGTTCAGAAACAAAGACAGGAAGCTGGACACAAAGTCCGTGCCAGGGCTGAGGAGCTGGGCAGAGGGCTAGTACCCTTCGTTCCCAGCTGCAGGAACCAAGCCTCAGCCCCCCGGGGAACTGAAAGGCTAGGAGTCAGTGTACTTCACCCTTAGCACCCTCCAAAGCCATTATCCTTGACCACAGAGGTACTAGCCACAGCCCAACTTCCCAGCCAACCCTCCCACCCTTTCCCAAGTCACAGCTGCAACCACAAATTGGGGGCTGAGTGTGAGACTCAAGGACAGGGGAGAGGTCGCTGGCTTTGAGCCAGGGCGGAGCTGGAGCTGGAAACGCAGGCGGGGAGGGAAAGCAGCCAGTGGGTGGTGCAGAGCTGAAGAAGCTGCTATGCATGGTCAGGGCCAGGGCTGGAGTGCAGTGGGCCAGAGAGCAGTGGCGGGCTGGCTTTCAAGTACTTTAAAATCACTTACAAAGGCCGGATTAAACGATCAGAAATTCCATTTAATAGGACAAATAAAGAAATAACAATCTACTCCATCAGCCCGGAGAAGGCAAGCTGGATAGTTTTTTTTCTCCTTCTAAAAAGGAAAAAGGGAAGGAAGGGAAAAAAAGAAGGATAATGTGTGTTTACTCAAGCAAAGAAAAAAATATTTAAGTGATGTCGGGGAGAAGATTGCAGTAACTAGTGAAGAATAACATCGTCTACTTTGCTGTCAAATCACACCCGAATTTCAGTAATAGATTCTCGGCTGACACTCAATTCAATTCGAAGGTGATCCTGCTTTATCCCAGCCCATCAAATATTAAACACTTGCATTAGCAGGTGCTGCCGCTTCCCGGCTTAAAGCGGCGGGCGGGCGGCAGGGCTGCTGAGGCCCCTCTGCTCTGCTCTCGGCTCAGGGACAGGGCAGCTCAACGTTATCTGCACGTCATCCTGAGTCTTATCGCAGCTAAGCGAGAAGACCACTTCAGATAACATTAGACGCTTGCCCCAATGCGTGTCAGTATGATTAGATTATTATTATAATAATGACTCCCCAAGAACTTCCCCCGACTGGGACATGTGGAAGGGGGGTGGAGGGCAGCGAGCCCAGGAGGACCAGGCTGGACCAAGGCAAGCCAGGACCCACAGCAGGAAGCAGGGGCACCAAGCAAGGCGGCAGCGCCGGTCCTGCCTGACGGATGCCTTTCAGGAAGGGCAGTCTAGCTTGTCAGAGCCAGGGCGAGATGAATTGGCGTCTCCACCGTGGCCGCGGGTGTCATGCCGCACAGTTTCATATTCCCAGATAAGTGTGATAACCAATTGCTGCTGTGACATGGCCTCATCCAGCACTTCCTCAGGGGGGCCCAGGCGGGGGAGGGGCAGTGCGTGCACATGGGCCTGGCAAGCTCCTAATAAGAGGGATTTAATTTTTACAAATGCTGCTTCCAGCGGGGCCTTCACATACCAGCCAAAGTCCAAAATGATATTAAAAATGGTTAATTAAAACTGCTCTTCTTCAGCCTGGGCTCTCCCTCTGCTGCCCTGCTGAGAATCCTGGCATGTCTCCTCCAGGCACTGCCACATACTCCTGCAGAGCTGAAACTTCACGTGTGACCACCAGTCTCATGGAACCCTCTAGGCACCGTAAGATGGACAGTGCCTCAAGCTACCCCTGCCACCTCAGGTACCTTTCAGGCACAGCCAGTGGACACAGAGAGCCACGCAGCGAATACAGGGTCCTATAGCAACCTGTGCTCCCACCTATATGAGGTCTGAATACTTACACCTGCTGCCCTATGCACTTGTACCCACATGCCCACCACCCTCAGCACACATTTCTAAAGTCCCTGCCCTCCCCCCAGATATATGCACTACGGAGCGTGCATACCCATGCAAGTGTGCCCCTCCTTCCATTCCCACCCCCTCCTGACATCCTCCTTAAGAGATTACATCCACCCAGGATTCTTTTTTTTAAATATATTTTTATTGATTTCAGAGAGGAAGGAAGAGGGAGAGATAGAAACATCAATGATGAGAGAGAATCATTGATAGGCTGCCTCCTGCACACCCCTAACTGGGGATAGAGCCCGCAACCCAGGCATGTGCCCTTGACTGGAATCAAACCCAGGACCCTTCAGTCCACAGGCTGACACTCTATCCACTGAGTCAAACCGGCCAGGGCTCCACCCAGGATTCTTAACAGAGACTTCCTGGGAGTCCATTTTGGAACAGGATGGTGTGGCTCTGTCTCAGATTCTGGCTGGGAAGTCAAGTCTGGGACCCCGGGAACCATCAGAGCCGGATGACTCAGGAGGCTGTCCACAGGGACAATGGAGACAAATAGGCCCATGTGGGACTGGAGGGCACCAGGTAGCAAGGGCAAAGGAGAATGGCAGGCGAGTGCATAGGCAACGGTTGGGTATTGCTGGGGCAGCCAACACGGACAGAAGGAGTCATATCTTCAGATGCTGCCTCCCAGCTCTGTGTAAACTGGCATCAATCGAGGGGCCCCAATTATAGTCTACCGCCTTTCCCCCACTGCTTCCTATTTCCACTCTTTCTCTTCTGCCAGCCTGTGTGGTGTCGGGGTAAGGGACCCAGTAGCTTTCTGACCTTGATCACTGCGGGGCAGGAATCTGCTTTAAGAGCTCTTGCCAAGATCTGTGCCTGAGCCCCTTTTTCATGCTGGTTCCAAATTCTCTGGGTGCCACATTTCCAGCTGCACTTCTGTCAGCCGTCAGGCCCACTTGATGGGTTCCTGACCAGAGGGTGGGGCAGGTGGAAGGATGTCTGAGGAGCCCAAGTCCTGTCCAGGGTAGGCGGAGTTGTGGTGAGAGATGCTGGTCCACCAAACTGCGCCCTCCCAGCCCTGTGCCAGGCAGGCATGCACACTTCCCTTCCCCTGGGCTGCTGTAATTTCCATGCGCAGGGAAGCAGGTGCCGAGCTGCTCCCGGCTGGCTCTCCCCTCTCGTGCTCTGCCCGCCTTGGCTGCTGCCCCATTAGCTTAGTGGCCAGCCATCTGCGACGGGCCTGCCACGCAGCCCTGCTGTAGGCGCGGCGGGTGGCCCCCTGTGTAACAGGGAGCTTTGCCATTAGCGCCTTTAATATTCTGACACCTCAGCACAGCCTGCTATTACATGCAAACGCTGATCGCCCTGTGAAATTACATTGCTGGGCCCGCGAAATGGAATCGTGTATAATCAGCCTCCTCCATGCACTGTCAGTCCCATCACAAACACGGCGCCCGGCGGCTTACGGGGGCTTAGCAGCTGCGACAAGTGTATTGGGTTTAATAGATGAAGTAGCCCTCATCGGCAGCAGCATTAGATCCTTCAAAGAGGAAAGAAGAGGCATTGACAGCTGCTGGGGTGTCTTTGCCCACCCACTCACTACCTACCAGGGCCCTTAGAGTAGGGTGGACACAGAGGGAGCAAGAACCCAGCTCAAACTGCAGACGGAAGCACAGACTACCCTGCAACTTCCACAAAACCCAGAGCTCCCAAGCCAACACCAGCACACCGACATACCCAATCTCTCCACAAGTTGGGGAGGAGCAGGCCTTTAAGCAGATCTCTGGGTGACTGTCACACTCTGGGCCTAAGGCTGATGGGCCATTTGCCAAGATGAGGAACCAAATCAAACCAAATGCCATTCCCATGAACACTCAACTGACAAAGCTGTAAACATGATACTCTGGAGGATAGGGGAGAGAAAGTATGACAGTTGGAACTACTA